ACGACAGTCGATCAGATAACTTAGTGGCTACTAAAGGACTAACGGGCAGGATACGCTGGACAAAGGGCTGATTCACGTCCTGGGTGGGATGCAGCAGAATGCACCGGATTTCATCACGCTACTTAAAACAGCACACAGTGTAGAACTTATGAATTGTTTGTTTCTGTAATTTTCCATTGATATTTTCAGACCTTGGTTGACCACGGGTAACTGAAACCAAGGAAAGCAAAACAGAGGATAAGGGGGGACAATTGTAGTTCTTCTGTTTAGATGAGTTCTTCCTGAAAATGGAGTGCTTAAAGGAAACAAATCTATATTGACAAGGTGAATGTAAAATTATACTATGCTAAAAATTTAAAGCTGTAACCCTTTGTGATTGAAGTGACAGGGAGCAGTATTACTGCTAAATGGCCTGTTTCTCTTTAGCACTCAATTTTGTAGGAAAATGACATTCCTTTCTATTGTTAAGTATTCTTTCAAGTTGCCCCTGAATAGCAGTAACTAAACTAACTGTAAAAGCCTTGGGTGATGTTTTACATTAGAGTTCTAAAGAGCGTTTGGTTTAAAAAAAGAAAGAAAGAAAGAAAGAAAGTAAGCAGCGTTATCCTTCTTAAAAGTCAGTTCAACTTATTTTTAGCTTAAATACACTAGGAATAGCCCTAGAATTTAAAGCGTAAGAGAGGAAACTCTATCAATCTACCTGTAGTTAAGATGTTAGCTGCTCTTTTGCTTCATTGCTATCTTTGGAATGTCCTTAGTAGTTGTGAATATGAGATGCATTCAGAACTAGATGAATAGATTATCCGTAAACATGAGACTAGTTCTCACACGCACAAAACCCAATTCCCATTTTTTGGTCTATACTTCTCTGATATATTTCTCTGTATATGTACTTTTTTACTATATTACGTAGTAAAGTAATATCATTGTAACTTTATTTGAAGAGGCCTCATGATATTTTGTCCTCATATAGCAGAAAATATTAATATGACATATGCTTCATTCTTCATTAAAACTTCCCTTTGATTTCTATTTATTATGCCTCTTTATGAAGTGCAAGAAAACTTTGCTCAAAGAAAAAAGTTCCGTCTCAATTAGATGTCCTCTTAAGTTGTTTATGTAGATATCTCTTTTCTCACTCAAAGACAAGCTCTCTGGGCACAGGTACCTGTCATGTCTATTTCATCTTTATATCTCATGCAACACACTGCTCAGAGTAAAACATATAGTAAATTTTCACTAAATGTTAGTTGAATGAATTAATGCCTTCCAGAATCCCACTGCTTGGTCTTGGTACTCAAAGTTGTACAACGTTTCATCTGTAACGTTCCTTTAACACAACCTGGGAAACTCAATTTGAATAATAACAGAATGTTCCATAACCTCCTAATCTGAGTTTGAATATATTTCTCTGGTTATAACTTTTTACAAAGGTAAAATGCTACGAGCCATTTTTCCTTTTTATTTTCCCTTGATTCATTCAGGAAACAGCCTTATTCACTTTTTAGCTTTTTGTGTGTGTGTGTCGGGGGGGGTGGTACGCGGGCCTCCCACTTTTGTGGCCTCTTTCGTTGCGGAGCGCAGGCTCCAGACGCGCAGGCTCCAGACGCGCAGGCTCAGCCGCTCCGCGGCACGTGGGATCTTCCCGGACTGGGGCACGAACGCGTGTCCCCTGCATCGACAGGCGGACTCTCAACCACTGCGCCACTAGGGAAGCCCCACTTTTTAGCTTTAAAATCTCGCTACATACCTATTTAACCTTACAAGTGATAAACGTAAAACGGCCCCAGTAAATTCTCATTTGTGCGTATTAAAATGGCCACAGACACTTCCCTGTGGAAGTACCACAACTACTAAGCCCATGTACCACAACTACTGAGCCTGCGCGCCTAGAGCCCATGCTCCGCAACAAGCAAAGCCACTGCAATGAGAAGCCACCGCAATGAGAAGCACGCGCACCGCAGCAAAGAGTAGCCCCCGCTCACCGCAACTAGAGACAGCCCGCGCGCAGCAACGAAGACCCAATGCAGCCAAAAATAAATAAATTAAAAAAAACAAAATAGCCACAAAAGTAATTAAAATTGTGATATCCAATGCTGATGAAGTTGTGAAAAAGTAACAGAGTGGGTGCCTAGAAAAGCAGATAAATCTCAGATCCCTTTTGGAAAGCAATTTAGAAATATTTACATAGATGTTTATTTTAATTTACCTTTAATAGCAAAAATTGGAAACAACCTAAGTATTCAACAATTTAGGACAGCTTAAACAAATGATCACACCTGACTTTGATAGATGATAAACTATTCACAAGACAATCACAAATACTGTGTAAAAACAAACGTGTGGTATAAAATAATAAAAAATCGGAACGTCAAACTATGTAATAAGCTTACAATTGCTTGAAATATGTAAGCATAAATTTAAATGACTAGAAGGAAACAGGACAAAATGAAAACAGTTATGATAGAGTGATGGGATTATGGGTGCAATTTTTTGTTTCCTTTTACATTAAAAGATTATTTTAACAAAATATAAAATCAAAGGGAAAAGAAGGCTCAAGTTTTAGTCCCTCGATGTTCATATTTTAAGAAGGATGTTGTGCAGATACCTAAGCAACATTTGTCTTCCTTGCTTCAAAATCTCAGCATGTATTTTGTCTGGTTCCAGGGGCTTAACCATTTTTTTAAAAAAATAATTCTGGCTACCATAGTTATTCTTTGAAAGTCTAAACAAAGTTTGTATTGTTCCCTGGCAGCATCTCGTTTGCATTAAACCATGAGTTACGATATTAGTGCCTCCTGGTGTAAGTTTTTTGAAGAAAGCAGACTCGATAACTCTTTTTCTGGTTGCATAGTAAATGACAGTCCTCTTTCAGGGTGTATTCAATTTCCATTGGAGTTCTTACCCTTGGTTATGTACAAATGGCTTATCAAAATTTTCTTATAATAGCCATCGTTATTGTAAGCCAACATTTTTGCTATTTTATCGAGGAAAGAGCAAATGATTATAGTGTAACTTTATATAGGAAGCAGAATTTCTTCCATGAGTTAAGACTTTAACAATTACAATAATCCAGTATAAGAGAAAAACATTTTTTGCTCTTCTAGAAAGACACTATTAACTTCACATTGCTTAGTTTATCTGGTAGGTGAACAAAAATCATCTTTATAGAAGTTACATTTAATTCAGGTCTGTATACATTCTGGAAGGTCATTTATAAATGGGGAGTATAAACCAAATGATAATAAGGATAGAAATATTCTTCATCAACTCTCCCAGTTTCGAGATGCATTCATTCATTCAGCAATGCATCATTGTACTAAAAATACCACCTCTTAAGGCAGAGTTGTGTAAATCTGGAAAAATTACTTTACCTCTCTGTGCCTTAGTTTCTCCATCTATTAAATATAGATAAAGATAGTACTTACCTTATAGAAATTTGTGGGAATTAAGTGAGTTAATAAATATAAAGCTACTGGAACTTAAGAAATGTTGCTGTTTTACTAAGGTAAGTGTTCTTGAAGGTGAGACCACAAATACTAAAATGGCACAATTTCTGCCCTCCAGACCACCTAGAAAACATTCTTAAAAAATCAACTTGGTTTGCCGTTAGCCTAAAACGGCTCTAAAAAATAAAGTCAATTATTTTTAATCAACTAAGTAGCAACTTTTTTTTTTTTTTTTTTTTTTTTTTTTGCGGTACATGGGCCTCTCACTGCCGTGTCCCCTCCTGCCGTGGAGCACAGGCTCCGGACGTGCAGGCCCAGCGGCCACGGCCCACGGAATCCTCCCGGACCGGGGCACGAACCCGCATCCCCTGCATTGGCAGGCGGACTCTCAACCACTGCGCCACCAGGGAAGCCGCTAAGCAGCAACTTTTTAACCCTCAGGGGAAAGAAACTTGCCGAGAAGTTGAAGCGCATAATAAATGGCTTTGGGAATGTTTTTAAATGAAAATGAAATTCTAGTTGCTCTACGTTTGAGCTACACGGAAGTATTAAAAGCTACACTTTCTTTCTTCTCCCAATTTTACTGAGATACATTGGACACATGACATAGAATTCGTTTTAGGTGTACAACATAATGGTTTGATACATGTATATACTGTGAAATGATTACCACAATAAGTTTGGTTAACATCCATCATCTCACATAGTTACACTTTTTTTTTTTCCTTGTGATAAGAACTTTTAAGATCTACTCTCTTAACAACTTTCAAATATACCATACAGTATTGTTAACTACAGTCGTCATGCAGAATATCTTTCCTTTGCTTCTGAGCGCAAGAGACTTCCGCTTTGGAAAACAATTGCTGGTTCAGAGTCTAGAAAGATTGATATACATCATCATCTTTCTGAAATGGAAAATCCTTCTAGCTAATAGCCATCATCTTTTTCTCAAATGCCTATCACTCAATATGACAATGAAAACCACAACTCCTAATGTTTATTTTAAGTATATTTACAGTGAAACTGGAAAGAGAAATCAAAGCCATTTTTACTTTTGTGTCAAATATGTCTAAATGAGTTAAGTAGATGTTCAAAGGTGTGTATATTCTTCAAGATTTAGGTTTGAAGATGCTCATTTGCTTAAGTCTAATAAACAGAATGATTTAGTCTCTATTTTCCTGAGCTGATGAAGCACTTGAAAGTTCTCCATCAAGAAAGTCTTAAATTTTCAGATGTCTTTTACTCATTCAACAAATATTGTACCTAGCATATACCTAGCTATATGTACCTAGCAACATGCTAGATATTCATTTCCATTGGTAATTTGCTTTAACTTTCTCAGTGGAGAAAAGACTCAACACAAGGAAATTAGCCCTCTTGTATCCTCGGTCCCTAGCACATAGAATTTTGGACCAAACAAGCTAACTTGTGTAACTAGTCTAACATACTATGTACTTCTTGAGCATTATTGGATGGTTATATCCTCTAATGAGCTATATAATGTGCTGATTTTGTCTGTTTTACTTAGTAGTATCTATTTTATATTTTAAGGGTGAACCCGGGTTGCCTGGAGCAGTAGGACAGAATGGAATACCAGGGCCAAAGGTTAGTACAAAGAAAACCAAGCAGAATCACTTGAGGCATGAGTTTTCATGAGATTGTAAGCTGTTACACTTTTTTTATTGCCCACTGGTTTTACTTGGATGGAATTTTTTGTCAATAATATAATACACTATAGTATAAAACTTTGTGACTAAAGAATAAGTGATGTTTGTGATTAGCATTAAAAATGCAGAGAAACAGTGTACGATACGTCTAAATTTTTATTTCTGGGATACTTAAATAACATGAGAAAGCCTGTGCTTCAAATGTGAGTTTGTCATTCTACCACTTAATGAACATATTACAACATAGGCCATGTCCATACTGCCAACATTTGCATAATTTTTACAAGATGTACTAAAGATGTTCACAGTGCCACTGTGACTTTTCCTCAAGATTTGGCCACCTCCAAGGCTTACACAACCTAACCAGTTAATCAAATGAAGAGCATAATAAAAATGTGGCATGTTTGAAATTTAAAAATGGATGTAGTCTGAATTACTAAGTAGGGAAAAAATGTAATAGAGTTTTTTTGGGGGTTCCAAATTTCCTTTGTTTTTGAAGAACAAATTAATCTTAAATATAAAAAGATTGGTGACAGTTTAGTTTAAACCAAATAGGCAGACAAATCCCAAGTCCTTTGATGAGTGACCATCCCTTGAAGTACAAAACTAATGTCTAATCCCATCAGCTGTGCTGGTGTGTATCCATTGCCACAGATGCTTGTCAGCTGATTTTACAGATCACGTTGCTATTGACAGGAGCCTAGGACAGACCTAAAATTTATAGACCTGTCTTTTGTCCTGCAGGAGAGGAAAGAAAATATTCCTTCTGGGACGACAGCCATTTTCCTGTCTTCTTCCCTCTCTTGCTCCATGCTAAAAAGCCAAATGATAGGAGTTAATGCTTAATGTATGTTCTCGGTACTATTCTTCTGTTGCCTAGCGACCATCAGGATGGCTGCTGAGCAGTGAAAGGTAACCAGAAATTCAGAAAGCCAAAGGGTCAGGCGGAGTTTCAGGGAGTGAAAAGAGTGTTGCCTTCAAACAGACTTCTTGAGTGAATTATAATTTTAAAAAACACAATAACCACCTTAAAAATCATTTTTAAAGTAGTCTGATCTTATTGCAACACTTTCTCAAGCTTTTCTTAAGAGGAATATTATCATAATGTGTGTGATCTGCTTTAGATTTACTCTCTGACTCTGTCCCCTGTCCCTTCCTGGGTAAAGTGAAAATGAGATTCTTTTCAGAACACAATTTTGCATTTTAGTCCTTATACTGTCATGGTCATCATTTTGAGTAAAGACATCTCTCCTAAACTCACTTAGAGTCTGCCCCAGTATAGTATCTTTTCTGAAAAAAACTAATGCCTCCTAAAGTACACCTAGCTTGGAACATAGTGGTTAACAACAGATTGAAGAGAGTTCATGACATTGTGAAGGGGTCCAAGTTCAGGCCTTAGTCACATCAGGGGAAGGCAGATTAGAGAACTACACTGGTACTCTGACCCCTGAAATAATCCGTGCACCAGGGCCTGCTTTGAATGGAAGATTTCATTGAAGGATGTAAGTAAATAAACTCACCGTACTGAGTCTGAGTTTGAGCAGAATAAAGTGTCATAATCTCAGGAGCCTCTTGAGACGTTGAATTGCCACAACATTTTTCTCCTTAGTGCCCTAAAAGCCGGGTTTTGGCTGGTCATCTAAAATATCTTTCTTTAGTCCTCGAAAGCAAAGAATTAAAATTACATTTGCTATTGATATCCATACTCAGTGCTCCAGGAAACTTGTCTTAACCTTTGTTTTTATATAGCAACTATATATTGCCAAAATAGAAAATGTCATGTATAATTTATCTATTAATAGTATGTTCAATATCTGATTTTGTTTAGTGTTGATTGATTAGGTGTTTTATAATTTAACATGTCACTCAATCTTTGTTCCTTTGCCCAGGGACAACCTGGAGAACGAGGAGAAAAGGTGAGAATGATTCTGCTGATTTTTATTTTTTTTCCCCAGAGAGGTACCAAACTGAACTGTATTTATGTGTGGTTGGATAGACAGATACAGGTATACAAGCATACCTTGGAGATATTGCAGGCTCCGTTCCAGATCACTGCAATAAAGTGAATATTGCAATAAAACGAATCACACGAAATTTTTCAGTTTCCCAGTGCATATAAAAGTTACGTTTACGCTATACTGTAGTCAGTTAAGTGTTCAATAGCATAAAACACAACGTGCCTGCCTTAATTGAAAAATGATGCTGGTTGCCACAAATCTTCAATCTGTAAAGAATGCAGTAGTATCTTTGAAGTACAATAAAGCAAAGCACAATAAGACAAGGTATGCTTAGTTATATAGATGTAGATAGATATAATGACCACTGTTTTTGCAAACTGCTAATTAGTGGAAGGAGAAAATAGTGTAATTCTTATATATGTATAGAAGTTTGGGTAAAAAAGATTTAAAGAAATGGAGGAGAAGGGTGCAAATTTAAACATTCTATGTCAGGCTTTTAAATGACTTTCAAAAATCCCTAGGCCTGCAAAATTTCTGTTCTACCTATTTGCTAATGCCACTCCAGTACTTTTCTAAGCATCCGTCTCTCTCTCTACTACTTCTTAGGTCAGTAGGTTAAAGGGATACAGATGTTTACCTACAGCAAATACACTGAAAGTTGTCCCAAAAAGAATTCCCATAAAACCCAAAAAGAGAAGCAAAAGGAGAAGCAGAGTGCATATGTTAAATTTCTCTTAGACAAACATCCTTCCTTACTGCTTTGGGGGAGTTCTCATGCTATGTTCTTTACCAGTGTTTGAGAAGTATGCCATCTCTGCAGGCAACTACCAAGATACCACATAATGCCCTTCATAAGTGATACGATCTTTCTGACAAATCAGTATCATCACCACTAATCCCCAAAGAAGTACATCTACAGATCCAGCAAGCTTCATGAACATAACTGTATTTTTGAGCTGTATTTTACAACTGTATTCTTGTAAAACAAAAATAAAAAGACATTTATTTAAATGGAAGGAGAGCAGAGCAGAGAGGCAACTCAGTCAAACCCTTCACTTCATGGCCACTCTGAACCAGTTTTCCTAATAAGAAAGTTTGTTTTGTTATTTAATAAAGGGATTTCCAAGCAATTTTTAAAAGTGTGCTAATGAGCTGCCTATCAAAGATCCCCCATAACTTATGATCAGTATATTTATTTGGCTTCCAACCAGTTCATGGTAATTAACCTGAAATGAATTAGTCATCAGATGACTCTTTTGTGTAGAAATTAAGGAGGGAAAAGGAGCAGTGCCAGCACCATTCCAGGGACTCATCAGATAAAACTGCTCAGGCTCCCAGGCTGCTGTGCTGTCCCCGTCACCATAAAAGAATGCCTGAGCAGGATAGCCTCATGCTTATTTGAAACAAGAAAAGAAAGTGAAGAGAAAAGGTTAAACTCTCCCTCCTTCGCCACCCCTCCTTCTCCCAGGGAAACCATCATCAGTAGCTTCTCTCTTATTTTACGGAAAATTTTAAATGATAGAAGAGTGACCTCTTACGCAGCTGGACAGAAGGGTATTCCAGCTTACGGCATGTATGAACAATAATGCATTGTTATTGCTAATGATTATCATTAACAACTTATGATGTGTCAGATACTGTCCCAGTTGCTTAGACACAGTAATTGTTTATTTCTTATAACCCCATAAAATATTCTTGCCCTTACGTTGCACATGAGAAATTTGATGTAAAGAGAATTTCATTTGCCCAGTAGGGCCTGGACCTGGGCTCCAACTCTCTGGCTCCAGAATTCATGATGTTTCCACTAGAGCATTCTATAAGACTTAAAGAATTTAGAATTTAAGAAAGCAAAGCATGGATAGTAAACAAATGACTTTTTTCCTAAAGCACTGCTTGTGGGTAGAAAGATATCAGTGAGGGAATAGGCATAGGAGCTCTCAAAAATAACAAAGGAAGCATAAACCCCCCAATTTATTTTACTATAATTTTTTAAAATTTTCTAATAAGATATAAAACATTTATTTCTCAAATGCAAAACACTTAGGCCCAGATAACTCAATGCTCAGTGCAGCAGTTTTGAGGGCTGGGTCATGCACTTGGAGGGCCTGGAGATTTGAGGTGCGTAGGATTCACAGATTGAAGGGAAAGGAGAAGGCAGGACTCCAGGTGGCAGGAGTGGGACAAGGAAGGAGACAGAAAGGGTAAGGCACACGGCATATTGAGGGAGTCAGGAGAAAGCCTTTGTTAGAGCGACTCTTTGAGCAGAGAAAAGAGAAAGAGTTAAGGTGGCCAGAATAGGCTATTAGTGCCAGAATGAGCTATTAGAAGTCAGAGAAATTACCTTCTGTTATTATCGTGGAGTAGTTTAAAACTATTTAGCCATGTTCATTGTAATAACATTTATTTGGACTAGTTGATATCAGGCAGCTGGTCACGTAAAGTACATTAGCTCTGTAGAACATTTACAACAGATTTTAATATATAGTGCCTATGAAAGGAAACTTAAAATAATGAAAAGTACTCTTTGCTGAATGTCACCAATATATTTTACATGTATTGCTTTTTTCCCCTCCTAGGGAGATGCTGGAGAGAATGGCGCCAAAGGTGATACAGGTGAAAAGGTACAGTGTTGCGAAATATGAAAGAGTATGTGTATGAGCAAGAATACTATTTCATGTACGTGAAAATGGGAGATCAGAGATAATTCTACACAATTAGAAAACTTTTCAATATTTAATGTATAAAAGGTGGTTATTCCACCAGCTCCTAGCTACAAATTTAAATATTTTAAAAGTAAAATGCTATGTCAAAAATTCTAGAAAATGCGTAATTGGGTTTCTAGTAATATGACTTTCAAGACAAAAAGAAACACACCACTATTTCTGTGTAAATGGAACACTCCCTTTATACACAGAGATATAAAAATAGAGTTCCTAAAGTGATTCCATTTGTCCCGATTTTAGGATAGAAGATTGCAGAGGATTCGGAGGGGATGTAAGAGTTTGATAATCAGCTAAAGTCAGTTGATTAGAGCCTCTCATGCAGCCTTGAAAATTTGCTTCAACTTGAAATCTACTAGATCCAGATATTTTGTCAGCCTTTGTATTCTCTCTTTTTTTTTTTTTTCTTTTTTGGCCTTTAAACCATTATTAGCACTTATATTGCGGTGGTCTTTTGTTCATCTTCCTACCTCCTGTCTTTTTTTCCTCAGTCTATTGAAGTTTTTGCTTGGATTCTTACTTCACACACATCTCTGACATAGGAAGGACATTTTTATTTCATTTGTGCTATATGTTAAGAATTAAGAAAAAGATCTTTTAAGAAACTAAAAATGGAATAGTCAGATTTAATTTAAATCAGGCTAATTGATGAAACAAAGAAAGATTCATTTAGGCTTGTAGTTGAGAATAAGAATACTCTACTTTGAAAGTTATTATGGTACAGATGGACAGTTGTTAGTCATAAAAACATACCCATAAAGTAAAGAGAAATTTGTCTTCCTCATTCTTATAAATATTAATATAAATATGGCATGGGTGGTAGGGAGAAATTAATGGTAGGAATAAATGAATGTCACCGAGTAGCAACTGTGTTTGTATTCAAGAGGTAGTCTAGAAATTAGAGTGGACTCTCAGTTTCTTGTAGACCAGGGTTTCTCAGCCTCTGCACTACTGACATTTTGGGCTGGATAATCCTTCTTGAGGGAGATGTCAGATGTCTAGCCTCGTTCCTGGCCTCTGCCCAGCGGATGCCAGTAGCATCTCCGAGTTGTGACAACCAACACTCTCTCCAGAGGTTGCCAATTGTCCACTGGGGAACAAAATCATCCCTCACTGAGAACCACTGCTGTAAACCCATTTTATTTATCTGTCAGATTTAAGTATCATGCTGCAATCCACCATGACATGAGTATGTTTAATACTAATGGGACCAGTGATATACCTCTATGACTTCTTGAAGTCAAAATTAAAAACCCTAGGTATATAAACATAGATATTTTATTTACCTTTGTTGTGTTTGCTTAAAAGCAGGAGTCAGCAAACTTTTCCTGTAAAGGGCCAGAAAATAAATATTTTAGGTTTTGTGGGCCATATGGCGTCTGTCACAACTACTCAACTCTGTCATCGTAGCATGACAGCAGCCATAGACAATATGTATACATATGAGAGTGGCTCTGTTCCAATAAAACTTTATTTCTGGACACTGAAATTTTAATTTCATGTGGTTTTCAAATGTCATGAAATATTATTCTTTTTATAATTTTGTTAACCGTTAAAAATGTGAAAACCACTCTTAGCTCTTGGGCCACACAAAAACAGGTGGCTAGCTGGATTTGGCCCTAGGGCCATAGTTGCCAACCTCTGTTTAAAGAAAGGAAATCTTCTAAACAGAGAGCAGTTTCTCCAAGTGAAAACCATTTATGCCAAGTCTGAGCTACGCCTGTGTGGATTTATGTAGAGAATTTTAATCTTTAGAATATGTATTTTTAGAGCTTAATTTTTGAATGTAGGCCAATAGTTTCTTTAATCACACGTTTTTAAAATTTAATATTGCAATAGTAAAGCAACTTTTTTTTCTTTGTAAAAGCTAAATTCATCTCAAAGGAATACGGTTCTTATTTTTTATATTAACACAAATCATTTACCATGCTGACTCACACATAGTAAACTCTCAATAAATGTTAGCTTTCTTACCACATGGAAATGGAAATCAACCAGATTGGTTATTTTTCTTTTTTATCAAAAAGTTTTATTAGTCAACTGAAATTAAGTTTGAGAAATGCTTCAGTTAAAACAGAAATCATTTCTATAAATTTTCAGTGAGTCTAAACAGGGGATTGTAAATAGGAATCTGTAACATATAATACGTAATCTGACCTGTAGCATTCATCCCCAAGAATGCTGTAATTGGAATATAATTTTTGATGTGTTTTTTAAACATTTCCTGCTTCTGTCACATAATTTGTTTCCAGCATGTTAGAAACACTCTTCTCATGGCCTTTGGGTTCAGTATGTGAAACCCATTCATCATTTACCAAGTTTGAGATGTAAAATCAAAAAAATGCTTCTTTTCTGCCATTGATGTAGTAAATTACGTCATTGGCGATTCACTTTAATAGGATTTTTTTCCTTGTGATCCAACTAGGTGCTTTTGGATGGTAAAGCAATCTAAGCCTTTCCAGACTGGTCATCTGGAAATGCTGTGGGACTGTAAAAACCTCTGGGCTGGGTTTTCTCTGTGGCCAGAAGCTACGATGAACTCTAGAATTAAGAATGACCTGCCAAAGACTGATTTTAATCATGTGTGGAGTTACTACGGGAAGGTTATGTTCTGCTCTTTGGAGTGTTAATCCCACCAACTAATGTAGAAATGCATTTCTTATCTATTATCCCAGCACTTGAAAGTAAGTGTTGGTGCAGACCACTGAATGGTTCCATCATGCCACTCTATTATTCACAACCTTATCTGTTCGTTTAGAAATTTCACATTCTTTCTCTTTTTTTTCTGAGCATTTTTTTAAAACTTTTTTATTTTATATTGCAGTATAACCAATTAACAATGTTGTGATAGTTTCAGGTACACAGCAAAGTGACTCAGCCATACTTATACATGTATCCATTCTCCCCCAGACTCCCCTCCCATCCAGGCTGCCACATAACATTGAACAGAGTTCCCTGTGCTCTACAGTTGGTCCTCGTTGGTTATCCGTTTTCGATATAGCAGGAAGCTTCACTTTCTTGGTATTGCCTGTCTGTGTCTTCATTTTTCTTTTCTCCCCCAGTCTCCATTTCTATAAATAACCTGCCTTCTTACTTTACACCTGCAGAGCATCTTTGATTTGCATCCTCAGAGCCTCTTCAGAAGCGACACCCATATTTGGAGCCACCCACCAAATTGCCTTTTCTTAAGATCACATAGGAAGGCTTTTCTTTTGGGCATAGGGCCTTCTCCAATTTAGCACATATGATGCTTCCCTTAGCTTAGAATACTCTTCTCTGTCCACCTCCACCTCCTCATGTTCTCATCCTATTCCTGTCTACTGAGACCTGGATTCATTAAGTCATTTCCCTGGGGCAGCCTTTCAGTCTCCCCTGGACTGTCTCTGTTACCCTCTATTTGCTCCCAGAGCACTCTCTATGATCCCTTTCATAACCCTTATCACAATTTATTGTAATTCCTTGTTTAATTGGGCATCCAGCTCACTGGAAAAGAAAAAACAAACAAATAAACAAACAAAAAACTATAAGTTACCAAACTGTTCTATTCCCAACACCAATCCAATTTCCTGGCATGTAATAGGAAGATAATAAATATTTATTGAATGAAAAACCTTAAAAAAATTTTTTTTTTTTTACTTTCACCTGCTTCTTATTTTTGTTGAATGGTAGAACTTTTTCCTGTACCATGCATTTGTTTATCGTGTCTTCTGTGGTGACACAAAATTTCCCAACATGACAATTTCTTCCTATCCCAGACTTTTTTGTACGTGGAAAGAAAGAAATAGAAAGTATCTTTTATGCATTCAATCAATAATATTTTTGAATACATATATTTGTGTACATATATACTATATACATATATACAAATGATTACAGTAGTCCTTCGCTATCTCCAGGAGATTGGTTCCAGGATCCCTGCAAATACCAAAATCCTAGCATGTCCCTTATATAAAACGGGCTAGTATTTGCATATAACCTATGCGCATGCGCCCATATTCAACTGACCCTTAAATAATGCGGGGCTTAGGAGTGCTGAGACTCTGCCAGTTGAAATCAGGGTATAATTTACAAAAGGCCCTCCTTATACATGGTTCCTTCACATCCCTGTTTTCTCCATATCATGGTTCCCCATCCGCCGAATTCAACCAACTGCAGATCATGTGGTACTGTAATATTTACTGTTGAAAAAAAATCCACATATAAGTGGACCTTTGCAGTTCAAGCCTGTGTTGTTTAAGGGTCAGCTGTACTGTAAAGCTTCTCTAGATTACGTATGATACCGAATACTATGTAAACAGTTGCCAGGCACACAGAAATTTAAGTTTTGCTCTTTGGAATTTTCAGGAATTTTTTTCTCAAAAGATTTTTAGTCCAAGGTTGGGTGAATCCGCAGATGCAGAACCCAGGGATACGGAAGGGTGACTCTATCATAAGCACAGGACAAGGGTAGGGTTTGAAACAGCATTGTTCGCTTTATCGCCCTAGCTCCTAGTATCCCTGCATCCAGAACATGGTTGGCACATAATCGATGCTCAATAAACATTTATTGAATGAATTAATGACTGATAGAAATATCACCACATTCACTTTGTTTATCCACATAGACTTTAGTAACACATACATATAATTACATACCAAATGTTGTGCTTGAAAGTAATCACAGCCAAAACCAAAAACTCTACTTGAATGGTCAATAGCAAAGTCAAATTCATTTACCTCAAGTATCTTCTCAAAGTATTTTTTGCTTTATGATTTACCCTGTGGAAACTTTTATTTTCAAACCAACTGATTTGTGAAGCTAAGGGTATACTTAGAGAGACACAGTTGGGTTTTTTTTCCTACTTTAATCCTGTATTCATTTTCACTTTTAGAGGAATGAGGATTATAAACACTGACTTTTATTTTCACTACTTGCAGCATTATCCTTTAAAATGTTTAACTTAGGAATGTCTTCCAGCAATTGCCTTGCCACTTAAAAGTTATAAAAATTCCTTGAGATTTCACAGTTCTAATTTTTGAAAAGAAAGTTGATATATCAGTCATAGTTGTCCATCAAATGAAACTGCTCCAGTTTCCACAAATAAATCAGGCTTCCTGGAAACTGTCCTTTCCTTCCCATCCACTTTCTCTGAGAACTAAATCTAGTCCTTATTCTCGTTAGTGGATTATCCAGTCACTTTCCATTAAAACACTGGGAAAAAAAAGTGTTTAAACTACAGTTAATACAAGCAACTTCCTTTTATTGATAAGTTTACTACAACCATTGTGCCCTGGTGCCAAAATGAGATAAACCAATAATTCTTTTCTTATTCCAATAAAAAGAACATGGCAATAGAATTCAGGAAGTCCAAAATTCACTTAGGCTCAAGTTGCTTCAATTTCCTCATCTATTGAGTAAAAATAGTAATATCTGCCCTATCTCCTGGGAGTCTTGTGAGGTATAAATAAGATGAAAAAGGGGGCTTAGAAAAGTCAAAATTGCTTTTATGAATACAAAGGTCTCATTGTGCAAAATACTGACTCATTGGTGTTGATGGCTTTCAGACAGACTAGATGTAGTGGAAGCAGAAATAAGTATTATTTTGTTAGCCACATTGATTTTGCTGCCCACTCGGAACTCAATTGATTATTAGTGACGGGGAAAAGAAACCAGTATCATTTTACAATAAGACAGTATTTGGTATCCTGTTCTATATGTTTTGTCATGTTTTAATTTTTCCTTGAGTAGTAGCCATTACAGATGTCAAAGAAACTCGTATGTTTCCTCAAATGAGTTAATTTATTATTTCCTCCTCCTTCTTAAGCTTTGGTTTTCTTCCCAAAGGTTTTTTTTTTTTTATTCTTGACTGCTTGCTGAAAATATTCTTTCTGAGATTTGTTCATTTATTCACCATATACGTATCCAGCATATTTTACTCAGACACTGAATAAAAATAGACCCTGAACCTGCCCACAGGTGGCTGATCATCTAATGGAGGGACAAGCAAAGAATAGGCAGAAAACATATATACATAATCCATATGCAGTGAGCTTGCAGGACTTGAACAGATGCTGCAGAGTGAGATGTGGATGTGAGGGGTATGTGTCTAGGTTGTTCAGTGAGGGGTTGAGGCAAAGCCACTTAAGACCTGAACAAAGAGAACTGCCAGCTGTGGGGAGAAGAGAGAGAAACTGAGGGAGAGGGGCAAGTACCTCATGTGTAGAGGCCTGAGGTGTATCTCCGTCTCTAAATGAGATTGATGAGCAGCTCTCTAAACCTAGAACGAGGAAGTAGACCCCTAGAGCTCTGTGAGCCCTTGCACAGATAGGACAGCTGAGGAAACCCCAGTATGTGCTGTCCTCCTTGTGGCTGTTTCTGTTTTCTCAAATGACTACGTTTTCTCCCTTTTATTTTCCTTGTAGCATGTTTATGGGACAGAGGACTAGAAGGAACTGGAAAATCTAGGCCCTTGTCTGGCCTTGTATCAGAAATAAGCAGCCACCCTCCGTGCTCTTTCCTGTTAGCCCCTACCTGTGTATTTAGAGCACATTTGCCTTAAGAATGTAGTCACACTCGGTGAAATCCGGATGGAATACAATGCCTTTCAGAAAACCAGATTCTGTCTCAAGATTTTCTCTCAGATCTTCCTTGTGTCCCTGTCACCCACAAGTCATCCATCATCCTGTAACTTTCCGGTGACTGCGTTACAATGAAATAAGTGTAGAGCTAGAAAAAAACGTGCTGGTCATAACGGTGATGGTGCTTCATGAGGAAAACAAACTGACCGGCGGCATGGCTTTTTCCAACTCAACATCATTAACCCTTTGACTTCATCTGTTGAACCCTGACTTTCTGAAGACAGAAAGGGTCAGGGAACTCCTAGTAAATGATAGCCAGTGACATTAATAAATTCCTGAAATAGAGAAAACTGAAATTCCAGATCCACTAATATATTGCTTTAGAATACCATTTTAGCACTGTATCAAGGGAAGAGATCCATATTTATATTTATTTCAAGGAATGTAGTCCTTATGTATTTTGCAAAGTAAACCCATATTTTTAGAAAGTATATTGTTTATCTTGGAAATTACTGACATCTTAGCCATATTGATACAAAATCTTAGGGAGCATAGTTCAGCCCATTAGTCATGGGGTTTCCTTAGGCGCTCCTGTAGATAACAGCTCTCTATGTGTTTGTGTGTTTCCTATTCCCATCACTTGTAGAATAATCTCTCATGGGTTTCATTTTAGGGTGACCCTGGATCGTCCGCTGCAGGAATTAAGGTAACTATAGCCTTGCAAGTGTTTGTACCCCAGGAGTTACAGCTTTGACTTTTATAAGTCTCTTGTTTCCCTTCCCTTTTACCAACTTTGATGGTTCTAACTCTGTTCCTATATTACTGCAATAATCAGCTTCTAGACACAACACGGAGTATCTGCTAGAAATCTCTGATAAAGGCTTAAACAAGAGGTCTTGCCTTTTCTTCCCTTTCTGATTGGTTTTTATGGAAATGTGGATTTGTATGTGAGCTTTAGGTATATTTACAGCAAAAAAAAAAAAAATGTTCATATGTCTGGTAGGATGTAGAACAACAGAATAAAGTGAATGAAATGCATGTATCATCGGGGAGGCTGAAAGTGTCCAAGGGCCTAAGGCTGTTGGAAAATTCTTATAAGACTGCCCTTTTCATCTTTGATTTTCTTTGGCCAGGGAGAGCCCGGAGAATCTGGTCGTCCAGGGCAAAAGGTAAATCCCTATTCTGGTGTGTTCTTTGTACTGTCTTATAGTCACCATTTGACTATGTTTGCTATCACTGTATAATATGAGAACAATTACTGAAAATGATGCCGTTTTCATGCCTTATATGCAGAGTGTTTTTGAGTGTTTTTCTTTTTAAAAGGGTTGATGCTGACCATAGTAAAAGTACAAACATAATCTGGACGTGTAAAAGGATAAAGTCAGCATGTACTGAGCTGTTTGAGACTAACAAAGATCTGCTGGGTTGGAATGCCAACAACCTATCTTGCATGTTTAAAGATACTCTGCATGTTTCTGTCTTTTATGAGAAGAAATGAATATTTACTAAACTGTCTCAATAGGGCATGATGGACAGTTCTTTTAAAATTATATTCCTTTCCTCTCGTTTCAAATACTTCCCTGCTGATAATTTTTTTATGTGAATAATATCTACCTAAGCAGTGAATGTTATGTTGTAAAAGAGGTGTGTTCATGAACTAAATTTTAATTGGAGACAGTAACCAAACCACTTTAACCAATCTAACGTTAATTTTTTTTATCATTTGTGCTTCACTTCAGTGATAAATTAGAGGACGTGCAATGAATATGTTTATTCTCATTTGAGTCTGAAGCAGGAAACGACTGTTTGTAGTTTATCGTCTGAGCATCTGGATATCAATGCCCAGTGCAGATTTTAGATTTTTAGATAACAGATGTGGCTAACAAGTAAACGTGAATTCCACATTATGATAAATCTCTGAGATTGTGACTCTCCCTTTGTCTAGCAGCAGTTAATGTTACAGAAAAAATAATATGAATAGAAACATAGAATATACCTCATTAGTATAAAGAGAAAGAGAGAATAAATTCCATTGTAGTAGTGTGGAACCTTAGAACATCACATAAAAATATATTCCCACATTCTTGAAGTTATTGAGAGGATCACTGCTTTGTTTAAACACTTCAGATTAAAGTGTTTTTTGAGAAGGTCTTTCACATTCTTTTAACATTTCCCTAATTGAAAAATAGATTTTCTTGAAATTAAGAATCTGAGAGTAATGATTCATTAGACCCAATTTCAGGTAAAGTTGAGACTTTTCCAAAGAGCCCAGCATAGCTCTGCAAATTTTGCTCTTCAGTGCCTAAGATTTCCTAATGATTCTTTATGTAAGAAATTGGAAGTTAGTGATATCACAGAGATCCATGGTCTGCTTTGGTTTGGAAGAGCATCTAATTTTCTCAGATGATCTCATTTTAAGTCCCTCAGTCTTTAAAAATTAAAAGCTAAATTTAAACTGCTCTCCAAAACTGTGATAAGTTAAAAGAATTGTCTGCAAAACTGTTATGTCTTTTTAAAAAAACAAAACAAGTCTGCTATAATTTCATATAGGTTCCACTGTTTTCAGAGTGGAAGACAATTGGTTCATAAAATATTGCTTTATCATGATTATTTAAAAATACATGTTAGATTCATTTCTGGAAGTTTATACGTTTACATATGGAAACATTGGCTTTTCTTTGTATTTCATTAAAAACCTGTTTTAAATTATATTGAGAGAAGTGGATTCTACCTGAACAAATACGTGCCTGAATGAATATGTGTATGAATATTACGACCCATCTGAATGAAAATGTGCCCTGAAAAGAACAGTATCTTTTTCATTAATATTTAGGCCAGATCCTACCCGTTGACGCAATCTCACTTTCCCACAATATTTATGACTTCCTTGTCTAATATCTGGATTTGGCAATACTTACCCCAACACTGATTTAAAAGTAGAGTGTTTCCATTCTTGCTGGTTGCTTAGATTGGAAAATGACAAACAGAACTGAGTGCAGAATCCATTCAAGGAATCTTCCACGACATTTTTCTCACCGTTGCAGAACTTTGTTGTGGGTTCGTGGGTACTTAAGCTCCTGCATTAGGGACATTCCCAGAAAAGTAGAGGATATCCTGCTAAAATTAAAGTGCATTGATTAGCTCTCCACTGTCTGGTATTTTGCGGTATGAAAGTTTGTTATTTAGAATAACATTCGTAATAGGGAATGATTTAATTATAGTTTTTTTCTTTTATAGACTCAGCAGGAGAGTGTGTGATTGATATGTGAGTTAGGGTATATATGTTTGTACAGTGAGTGTGTGTTTCATCGCATAACTTTTTCCTTCCTAACTTCACATTCAATGGCATTGGTGGTATAGTGGTGAGCATAGCTGCCTTCCTAACTTCTCCACATCTTTTTAAAATATAGTTTTTAGTTTTAATGGGGTAAAAATACATTTTTGCCCATTGTAAGGGACTGGCACAGTTGAACTGTATCTAGAAACACAAAGCACTGTCACAGGGACATGGGGTGGAAGCAGAGAACTGACTTTAACAGTAGACAAGGGTCTCTGATAATGGAGAATAAAGAGTGAAAGGGAAAGAAAAAAGAAAACCAGAAGCATAACGTATCAGTGTAAAGTGTAATCTACTTGGGCAAGAAGTCTTTGAATGGAATAACAAACCGATTCTTAATTATGACCTAGATCTGAACTTGGGCTGTGCGTGACCAAGAACTCAGCTCAGAGAAGCTCTGAGTCAAGAAATAGGCAAGAATGGAGAAATTAACTGAAAACTGTCTCTTAATTAAAAGATAAACATTCATGGTATAAGGACAGAGAATTTATATAGGAAGAAATATCTTCCTAAAAATGCTGAGATGTTTCACAAAGGGTAACATTAAATGTTTTATAATTCTTCATTTTGTCAACTTTTAAGTAAACATAAATTTGGAAAGGTCAAAATCCAAGAGTATGAAATATGAATTCCTGAAAGATTTGTTCATTAAAAAGTACATTTATAACCTATATACTTACATATATATGCATATGATGTAGGGAAGAGCTAAGTGCTCAAACTCTCTGTAAGTATCCAATCTATGTTATAAAATAATCCATAATGTTTTATACATCTTTCTCATTGTGAGAAACATGAATGTGTCTATGTATGCATGTGTATATAAATATCTTACTTTAAAGTAGTCATCAGATCCTTTTAATTTGACCCTTCCCCTTGAGGGAAGGGTCTAGTAAAAACTCCTTTGAGGAAACAGTGTTACAACCTATATGTTTCCACACATGTCTTAAATAGGATGTCTTGAGTTTTGGGGGCTTTTCTGAAACAATACAAAACTATCAATATGTCACCAATATGTTTACTTTTATTGGTTGTGTATTCTACTGCAACTTACTGTGTTTTCAAGGGCCTTATACTTTTTTCTTAGTAAAAGAGAATCTTCACTGAAATATGGATAAGCTCTTTTTACTAGAGCTTCCTAAAGTTATTGATTAAAGGGAAATGGGGGGGAGAAAAAGAAAATCAAATGTATAATGTTGTATCTATGTAAAGTTTACTCTACTTGGACAAGTTTCTTTGAATGAAATATCAAATTCTTAATAATCATTCTTTCTTCTCTGGCTTAATCTCATCTTAGTCTTTTTGTTCACAATGCAAACTTTCACTCAGGTAGTTTCAGAAAGAATAGCTTTTCTTTTGCATTCCTGAAGCACCTTTGACCTAAACCATCAGGAAAGTCATTTTCCTTTCTATGTCTAACCATACAGCTTAATATAAACAGTATTTGAAGTCATTTTGTGGTAATACCAGAGCAAATTATAGCCCTCCATAATTTGAAAGTAATAATATTAAAGATGAAATGTCTGGTTGTTCTTAGCAGATTTTCCTTGGAATAAGGGCTGTTCAAGCATTTAGATGAAAGAAGTACCTTCTACCACTTTTATCTTTAGTTTGATGCTTCTGTCTCTTTTGGTATAGTTGTCATAACACTGACTCGCCATCATGAAATGATGTGACACTTTTACCTTCAAATGTTATTTTCCACAATATTTAGTCACCTCAGTCCAACACAGGATGGACTTTCATTTTCTCTAGCAATTCCTTTATGCTTCTTTAGTGGAATTCAGGAGATTTTCTAAGCAATATAACTTCTTGTCACTATACTTTGTGCTTAAAGTAATGTAAACAATTATGTGAAAATGAGAAGATTTAGCTTGACTCCAGTGTGCTCACCCAAAATGTACCACTTAATCTCAAACCTGTATTCAGAAGCAGCTGCATGGTACCATTAGCCCTCCATTGCTAAGCAGGGTTACCCAGACTCAACAATTGTCTGATATACGGGCTGGAGTTAAGTATAATCTTAACCATGCATTTATCTTCTCATCATTCAGGAATGGAAAAGAAACCTTGTTATACTTTTAGGTGAATGAGACTTTTAATGTATATTGTTTTGATATGACCATCTGTTCATACAGCCAACTCTTGATTATCTGAGGTAAGAGAGCCTTGGAATAGGATGCATTATTTAAATGCACGTAATCCTCATTTCAGCAGATAGATTCAGCCTCCTCAACAAATCATTGACCAGGGAGTAATAAAACACAGGAATTCCTTTTCCTTTTATTTCTCTTTCTCACCTTCTGGTAGTGATGACAATGAGCAGTGAACTGGCAGCAACAGGGAAAATCCTAAAAAATCTGCAAAATGGTCAACGAATCCCTGAATCAAGAGTTGACTGAACTGTATAATCTCACCAAATATCTTGAAACTAGACAGTATATATATTAGACATATATATATACATACAGCACGAATTCAGCTGGGAGCATTTGCCATATTTTTCTCAGATACTGTGCCTGAGTGAATACTGTTCTATAATGCTGTGTGATTTTCCTATGTAGGGTGAACCAGGGCTTCCTGGGCTTCCTGGACTTCCGGGGATAAAGGTAAATACTGCACTGACAGTCTTGGCTTCATAGAAATGTAATTGTGAGAGTCACAAAAATGAAAAAATGGAAGCTAAAAATATAGTGCTGTTCTTTAAATACCCACCAGCCATTTCAACCAATTAAATTTTTTAATTAAAAATGAAGCACAGGTAACAGAAATAGACTTACAGGCATAGAAAACAAACTTAAGGTTACCAACGGGGAAAGGGGGGGAAAGGATAGATTAGGAGTTTGAGACTAACAGATACACACTACTACATATAAAATAGATAATCAACAAGGTCCTACTGTATAGCACAGGGAACTATACTCAATATCCTGTAATAAGCTATAATGGAAAAGAATCTGAAAAAGAATATATATATATATACACATGTATATGTATAATATATACATAAATATATATATATATATGAAACTGAATCACTCTGCTGTACACCTGAAACTAACACAACATTGTAAATCAACTAAACTTCAATAAAAAAAAAATGAAGCATGAGTATTTCTAAAGTTTGCCATGGCTATCTGGACTGTATATTCCACTATATAACCTACTATGCCCCTTAAATAAATGTAAAAGTCATTTCATTTGAAGTCATAGGAATTCTTTAAAGTCTACAATGTCTCCCTTCACATTTAAATTTTACTCTTAAGATCCTATCAGATTTTGACCAGAATTAAAATCTTAACATCCCCTTAAATCTAATATCCAGGCAGCTGTTTTTGTGATTCACCCATTATAATAATCTTGGCAAAGTTTTTTTTTTTTAATTAATTAATTTATTTGTGGCTGTGTTGCATCTTCGTTGCTGTGTGCAGGCTTTCTCTAGTTGCGGAGAGCAGAGGCTACTCTTCGTTGCGGTGTGCAGGCTTCTCACTGCAGTGGCTTCTCTTGTCGTGGAGCACAGGCTCTAGGCACGCAGGCTTCAGTATTTGTGGCACATGGGCTCAGTAGTTGTGGCTTGCGGGCTCTAGAGCTTAGGCTCAGTAGTTGTGGTGCACGGGCGCAGTTGCTCTGCGGCATGTGGGATCTTCCCAGACTAGAGCTCGAACCTGTGTCCCCTGCATTGGCAGGTGGATTCCCAACCACTGCGCCACCAGGGAAGTCCTTCCAATGTGTTTTGTGCTTCTACTTCCTGTTAATAATTCTCACTGCAAAGTATAAATATTACTAAGCTTTATTGACCTACATACTATTCCCATAAAATTTGTATGTCTTTTGAAATAACTGCTTAAAGCTTAGCTTGAAAACATTGTTTTACATGTTTTTAAATTGTCTAAAAATATTAACAAACATGTTTTTTAGTTGTTTAAAATTTTTTACATGGCAACTGTCAAGGCTTAAAAGTTCTAGTGTCTTAGCTGTAGTGCTCCCTTAAAATCAGCTTCTTATTTTAAAGTTTTTTCTTTTAATTCTAGAACTGTTTGATAAAATAACATAATGCAAGTAGATTTTTCTTTACATTGTTCTCATCTTATAGAATTTTGAATTAATCTCTAGAGTACGTTAGATGATTCTAAAATTAATATTCCTCGTTTCAGTAAGAGGGTTGTATATGCTACTTTATGAAGATTGTGTTTGCAATGTGTTACATGAATAATATGATTTTAGAATTAATATATTAAATTACTGAGTTCCCAGACAACATATGGTATCATATGTAACATTTTATGAGTATATTTGTTATAATTAACAGCCATGAAAGCTATGAATTCCAGGTTGGCACTCAGAAATTTTGGTTCTGCTTTTTGTTTGATGTTTCCAGATTAGTATCACAGATGTCCAGATATGTCCTTTTAATATATTTTTAGTCTTTGACTTCTTCACTGAAAAGTACACTCCACGACAACAGTTTACTAAAGAGTCAAAGTCATTTCCTTATCATTTGATATTTAGCAAAAATAACTTAATAAATTATATGTGATTTCATACTGCAGAGTTAATTTATGGCATAATGTTAATTTATGGCAGTTAATTTATGGCATTTATGGCAATAACTAATTTATTTATTAGTTCCTTAATAATCCCACACATTAAAAAAAAGCTTTTTACTGATATTTGGAAAATCACAGATTTTTAAAACAAATTTAAGAACATTAAATTCAGCACTAGGTTAAAGAAGCCGGTAACATTATAAGTAAGGGGGGAGGCATTTAAAAGGAGGGGCATTTTGGAAGGACTGGGGCAGGGTTTCCTGCAGCGCTCGCTTGTAGGTTAGCTGGGCTGTGCTGCCAGCACCAGATCCTGAGGCAGGAATCTCAGTGCTGTGTAGAAATCCAGTTGTCCCTTCTCCTGAGGGTGAGCTTTCTTGTTGAGAGAGAGTATATAAGGGGGAAGGTATTGGGGTTTTTCCCTCCAAAACAAACAAACAAAACAATTACAGTTAGTACTATTTGTTCTCATTACCTTTCATTTATGTCCTCCACTGTGAAAAATACCCCAGCTCATTTCCCTAGTCCTCGGTGGACCAGTTTAAAGGTTTTGAACTTTTTCAAATTGGGAAAGATGTTGGTGATTTGCCACCTCCAGTAAACGTTTTTATTTCTAGGGTCATGGGATGTTGCCAGACAAATTTTGTCAAGATCTTATAGCTGATACTTTCCTTTGTTTTTCTAACCTGACTAGTGACTGTGGTGAGAAAAAGCCATCAACTGACAAAAATCTTTCTATCATTAACTAGAGATACGTTTCTATGTAATTATCGAGTGTTGTTGGGTAACTATCCAGTTTTCAGTTTAAATCACAGATTCTATTTTTGGATTAATAAGCTCTGTCTTCTCTCTCTCGTCCAGAATGTAAGTGATATGCTTGCCCTATAATGTAGTAGGTGCTCAGTGTAATTGAGTAATTTTGTAAAGGAGGCAATTTAAAAACACATCATAGTCATGAGTAGGTATTGGATATTTTTAAATGTACAGTTAAAAGTTTATAAATTTATGATATAGCTTCATTAACTTGGGATATTCTTTACTCCTTTAATATACCTTGCTTCTGTTAGGTAGTTAACCACAGGACAGTTAACCTTGATTTCATAGTTTGAATGAGTAATAATATTTAAAAATGAAACCACCATATATGGATTTAGAATGTGTGGTAGCAAGAGCATTAGTCATAACTTTCCTAGACCTGTGTGTGTGTTTATGCTTTGGAAATACTTCCTTGCTATCCATCTCCTTATCTGCTGGTACTACAGAGAGCGTGCACATGGCATCCGTTATTTCCAAGATGTTGAGGAAACCAGCCATGACATACCAGGGAAGCTTTGATTTGCCACCTGTTGCTCTCGGGGAATGGTTGGAAGCTTAATGAGCATCCACATGCCTTCCACACTGCTCTCAGGAAATGAGCAAAGTGCCTAAATACAGACAGCAGACTCATCTATCTATCACCTCAGGGTCCCACTCAGAGATAAGTACTAATACCTTCGGCATACATAAAAGTCACTAAGAAGAGGCATCACTTAATTTCAAACTACTCTTAAGCTTCCCGAACAAGTATTGGAAAGTGCTCTGACCATGTGGAAGACATTTGGAATTCCTATTTCATGCATCCATGGTTCATATAGTGTTAAGATGTTCAGCTGGGAAGATTAAATTATCGTACGTTGTACATTGCACAGTGTGCCATGCAAACATTTGTCTTCTGGAATAAGGATTGAGCTCAGAAAAGTTCTTTGATTAACAAGCCTTTAAATATATGTTTCATGGGTAAAACTTTATTGTGACTAGCTTTTCCAATATCACATAAAAGGGTGAGATTCAAAGTTCCTAGTTTTAAACATGTTTTTCTTTCCATACATGTTGAAAATTGCTTACCCCCTTCATGGTTACATCACCCTAGTAATTAAGTCATGAAGAGCAGTGATCTTTAGGACCAGACCACCAGTGTGTAGATCCCGGTTCTACCCCTTACCAGTTTATGAAGCTATATCATGATACTGGGCAAGTTACATAATCTCTCTGTGCTGGGTTTCCTTATCAAATGGGAATTATTATTATACATAACTCAGAGGGTTGTTGTGAGGATTAAATGAATTAATATACATGCAGCTCCTAAAATATTGCCAAACATATAGTAAACGCTATATAAATTTTAGCTATTGTTATTTCTTTCTCTTGGAGCAGCTCAGAATGTTGGAAACATTGTTTATGTACCTGTTCTATAGAGTCTTTCCTCCTGTGAGTCATTTCAACCTAGAGATCATAAAGCCATTTACACCCTCCAGGTTCATAGATCTAAATTCTGAAAACTCCTTTGCGGTGATGGTTGAATGTTACCTTTAAGAGCAGTAAGATAACATATTTTCTCTTGAAACATGACATCACACTATTCCCCTTTTCCTATAACCCAATGTCTTCCAGGGATAAAGGATGAGGAAACACAGTGTTCTGCGCATAAGACATGATACTGTCTTAGTTCTCCTTCCCGACACTCGTCACAGGAAAAGCAAAAGGAAAGCTTGACATGTAATAATGGAAATCTCTAGGCCCCATTCATCGTGTTGCCCAGCCCAAGACATTTTTTTACAAATATGAATTTTCAATGCTTGTTTTTCTCCTTTCAGCGTTGACTACCAGTGTATCTCATCATATTTAGAAAGTAAATTGGGAAAAATGTACCTGACACATTAAAACGAGTACAATAGGGAGACATAATACAGTAAAAATTACATCAAATCAGAAAAACAAATCAGTTAGGTGGCAAAGAAATTTTTACGATATTTTCCCTCAAAGCTTGATATTTTTGTTCTGGCTTCCACATTAGTGACAATTTGAGATTCAGATCAAGAACTTGAGGATCAGGAGACAGTAACTAACTGTTTACACTTCATTATATAAAATCATCCTTGACACTAGATCATATAAGCACTAACTTACAGGTGGCAGAAACATTATTTTGTCATTCTTAGGATTAAGTATAGTGCCCAGTCATCTATAGAAACTTATCTTCTAAATACACTGGAGATGAGGTTTCTTCCTTAGAAACATCAAGTCAC